GTTAATCTGGCTGGGACATTTGTTCATGCAAGCCCCTCCTGCCCTGGTCCCCAGAGTTGGGTGAAGCTGGCCCTGGAATTCTGTAGGGTGGAAGGGCTCTTTGTGACAAAAGGAGACCAGCTTTTGGTCATTGGCACCTCCTCCTTGCTTGTCCTATGCATAGATACTCTTGGATTACTGGCCAAGATTCCAGGTCAGGCCACCTCAGGCAAGAAACCAGTGGGGCATCCTAGTTGGATCTATGTAAAAAGGAACTAAGATGTCTTTGAGCCAGCCTGGCAGGCTTCGCCCTTCCCACCCCCACCCCAGCTCACTGAAACCCCCTGAGTTCCACCTGCCAGGGGTACCCCACAGGGTGCACATGGGGCCTCCTCCCCCTTTCACGTGAGTTTACCTCACCTGATGACCCAGTTCCTCACCACATAGCCACCATCCAGCTGCCAAGTCCTTAGCCCTAGAGCTGCACCACCATAAACCCAATACCCCTGGACAAATGTATTTTATGTAAGTTCAAGCGCTGGAAATATTGAGTTCAGAGAATTTTATTTCGAGAGCCCTCTATATTTCTCTAGGATTATCACCTGTCTTGGTTCCCTCTGTCTCTGGGTTATTATCTTTGGACCCTTTCCAAGCCAAGTGACCTGATTGCTTGGGGAGAAGGCTTCCAGCATCCTCCCGTGGCTTCTCTGGGTCTGGTGCAAGCAACCAACTGTGGGGGACCCTTTCTTCTTTCTTCTGTATAACTCTGCAGGTGCCCCCCTGCCCAGGCAGCCTTGGCTTCTAGGAGCTGGCTTCACCAAGAGACTCTCCAAGTGCCAAGGAACATTGAGTGGGTGGTAGAAATGGAAGCCTCATGCCCCCCAAGTTAGGGAGGGCTATGCTCAGGGTGAGCCTCAGGGTACAGAGGGGAGGGAAAAGGCCAGCTGTTCTCTTTTCTACACCCTGCCAACCTAGCCTGACACCAAGTTAATAGCATTCAAATAATATGCAAATAATTATGCAAATCTAGAGGAGAAGGCTGTTCTCACCGGGCCTTTGGGCTGCTGGAAGGCCAGGGCCTTGAGCCCTTTCCCAGAGGACCCCACAGGCTCCCTTCAACTTCAACCCTCATCCCTTCAGCACCAGCTGGTAAAAAGAATCCAGTGAGACTGGTGTGAGCCTCTCAAGGCCCTCTGATCCAAGACCCCACTGTGGCCTCACCTCCCAGGCACTCAGGTCCCCTTCCATTCTGAAATGACACAGAGGCAGCCAGCCACAGAAGGTGGCATGACCTCCCACTGGATGCCAGTATTCTAGCTCCTCACTCTTTAGCAGTGTATGCAAAGTAGATGCAGCGTGGTTGGGGGGTGAGGTTTTTTGCATTTATTTAACTCCCTTAAAATGGCCCCACTTCCATCACCTCTGCTCAGGCCCAGGCTTCCAAACTGCCCACCCTTGCTGCCTGCAAGCATCATGTGGTTCCTGCGCCTGGTAATTGCTGTGGTGTTTCTTGAGCTGTATTTGCATTTGACTGTCATTTAACTTCCATCTTTCTCCATCAATCAAACTGGGCATTGGGCTTCCACAATTGATTATTTGTTTTCTTTTCAGGCCCTTGGTGGGCTTTCAGAATTCTCTTTATTAGTGCCACAAACTTGAACCCTGGGGCTTCTCCTGTCAAATCGAGGGGGAAGGCCTCCTCCCACCATCCCAGTGCTCCTATGTGAAAATAATCTAGCCAACATCGCGGATCTTTAGTCCTATCCCCAGTCTCTCTGTTCCACCGCCGGCGGCATTAAACATTTACGGAGCTAGAGGATCAAAGGCTTTGGGGGGGCGGGCAGGCCGGAGGCCTCAGTTTGGAGATGGAAAGCGGATCACATCAAACCACTTGTTTCTGCTGTCCCCATCCACCCTGGGCTCTGCTACAGCTGATCTGGTCCTGCTCCTGGAGCAGGGGCAAATGCTCAGGAGCCAGGATTCCCCATTTACCAGGGCAGGGCCCTCCTCTTGGCCTTAAATTCAAAGGCTTGACTTTGGGTACCCCAGGAACCTGGCCAGAGCCATGGCACCCAGACTGTACCAGATGCTTCAAGGTCTGGGAGCCCCCTCTGAAGAGTGGATTGAGGTGAGCAGGCAGCTTTGTGCCCTGAGGGTCTCGGGAGTGAAGCAGCTCCTGCACCTAATTCCCTAAAACCCCCAAGTCCTCCTGGTTGTAGAGAAGATATAGCTCTGGTTTAAAATCTTGGAAAAGACAATCTTCCTTCTCCTCTCACTCAGAAAGCAAGTGTCATCCAGGCAGAAACTTTAAAATAAGTTACCAATGTGCCTGTGATCCCAAACTGTGAAAGCGAGACTGGCTTCTCCAGGGTTGTGGGCTGGATGTCTGGCACTGTCTGGGCAGAGAGCCCCTTCTTCCTTCTCTCTGGCTCTCAGTCCTAGCACAACCTTTGTAACTCAGACACACATACCCCACACACCTTCTGAGTAGGCAGTGAACCCCTCAGTTCTTCCCACTTGCCATGGTGTTTGAAAACTCACCTTAATAATTCCAGACTCCCTTACTTTGGTACAAATATCTTTATGATGGGATAACCCCTTCAATGTAGCCACCAACTATGCCACACAGCTCAGATGACCACAAAGCCTGACCCTAGCCTACCCCAACCTTTCCTCCTTCATCCCTGCAGGGACGCCCTGCTCCACTAAAGCCAGCCTTCTCACTGACCCCAGACTATCTTGCATTTTCCACTACTTTGCTTTGCATAAGCCACCCCCTCAACTTTGAGTGTCTTCCCTCTTCCTCTCCACTGACTGAAACGGAGAACATATTTAAGACTTCAGTTCAGTCCACCCTTCTGCTGTATAAAGCTTTCAGTGACCTCACCTCCAGAAGGAGCAATTGTCTCCGCCATTATCTCACAACACTCATTTGGCACCAACGACCTGCCTTAGGCGTTAGACACACACACACCCCCATGTCATTTATTCACAAATATTTACTAAGCATCTACTATGTGCTGGGAGGTGGGCTAGGTTGGGAGTAGAGGAAACAAACATGCTCTGTGCCTTCACAGAGTTGACAACTAGTAGAGAAGACAGAAAATTAAGCAAGCAATTACATAGACAAGGAAAACCCAAGGTTCTCTGGGGGCAAAGAGCCAGGTGTGAGACACAGAGAGAATGGATGAGACCAGTGAAGGGAGACTTGCAAGTTTCCCCAGGCTGCCACTTTCAAATGTGTATATGACTTGAGTACACAATAAGCCTGCAGCGTACAGTTGATGTCCCCTAAGGCTTCTGTTGTCCTCAATTTGTGGGTGATGCTGAGGTCTGCACACATGACCCTTTGGAGGTCATGAGACTGGGTGCTTGACAGAGACTCTACTGCTTCCCAGTTTGGCCCAGGCTCTGCCTCAACCTAACTGGGAATCCATTCCATGGAAACCACATGGACCATCTCTTTAGGGGGACCGCACAGCCCAGGTGCATTATTCTTCCCTCCCTCTGAGCTCAGGACACAGTGCTGCATTCTGGGACTTGTAGTCTCCATTGAACCCCCTCCTAAAGGCATATGTTTGTTGGGGCAATAAGGAGGGTGATGTGGCAAGTTCTTTGGTAGCTCTCCTCACCCTCCTTCTTGTGAGTGCCCAGCCCATCAAGGAGCCCAGCTGCCAGGAGATAAGCCTGCCACCAGCCTGCAAATCCACATGAATCATCCTGGCATATGAGGTTCATCCCTGAGTCCTGATTCACCCTCCTCTGCCCAAGCTGCTTAGTCCAGAGGGGCCCAGGATTCAAGGCGGAGAACAGGAATCCCATTAAGGAAGAACGGAGGAATCTCATGCCACCTGCCAGTATTTCCCCAAACTCCCTTCAGCTACAGAACCTTCCACCTCCCTCTTCTGTTGGTAACTCTTCCTCCCTCTCTGCACATTTTTTCTTGGCTTCCTCTCTCCTCACCACTGATCCTTTATCAACTTCCCCCCCCCTTTCTGCCATCCTTCTGCTACTGCCCTTTTTTCACAGCTTCTTGAAACAACTGTGCAGAAATCCTCTCCTGGTGGCTCCCTCAGATAATTCCACACCACCTGCCTGCTGCCTGGGATTCTTTACAGCAGTTGAGGAGCACAAAGAGGATCTAGAGAGAATCTGATGAGCAGAACTGGCAGACTGTGGAGGTGCTAAGGACCAGAAGAGTCTCTGAGAAATGAGGCTTAAGAGGAGAAGTCTTGCCACCTGCTTCCAGGATGAGATCAGGAAGGGCATTGGACAATGGCTGGGGTCTGGAAACTGTGGGGTGGAGCCAAGTGCATGTGAAAAGAACTTAAACAGAAAGCTGTCCTCCCTAAGGACCACAGGGAGTTCAGCCCTCTTCTTCCTCTGCAGGGAACAATAACACCAGTCACAGGATCATGTCACATTGTATCCACTGAAGTTCTTCAAGTGAGCTCATCCATGGCACCAAAAACCCCTGGGTCTAAACATCAGCCTCTAGGATGGCACAGCTGTGACTGTCTTCTTTGCTGTCCTGTGACTCACTGGGGCTCCTCAGCCCAAGCAGAGCCCTGGACGCTTATTTTTCCATGTCCTCCTTGAATGATAGTCACCCTGGCTACTCTCCTGAGCCCCTTCAAGTCTCTATGTAAAATAGCCCTAGGAACCTGGGCAGGGATAGGCATGAAGGTTCTGCTCCCACTGGCGGAAACTGTGGCTTCTCTGACCCTGTGGGGGCAGGGAGTTGTCAAGGCAGGGTCCTGGAGACCCAGAGCTGCATGAGGACCCAGGATGCTACCTTCAGCTGCCCACAGCTTGGCCCAGGTTACATCCTGCCAAATGGAGACTGTCTTCCCAGGACACAAGTACCACTGGCTTTTAACTATAGTATCAAGATAATTAAGCTTTTCTGTGAGCACAGTTTGCTGCTGATGCAGCTGCCTTGAGCCCTGGCATTTATTGAAAGCAAAGTGATAATTTATTGTCCTTTGTACGCTCAAAAACCATCTTCATTATCGGCCCAGGACTGAGCTGTCACAAGGGCACGCAGGTCTCTCCATCTGCCTCACTCGCGGACGTCTTCCCAGGTCACCCTCGGAGCCCTAAGGCACCAGTGTGGGGTGGGGAGCGTGAGGAAGAGGGTGGTCTCTATGGGGAATCAGGTTAGAACCCCATCTCTTTGGCAGGCTGCTGATGAGAAGGGTGACTGGGCTTGGCTGGGCGTGGGCAGCGCGGAACGGCGGGGGCCGTGTGCCCACATTAGCAGGGCAGCACTTCCCCGGAGCCGGGGGCAGCGCGGGAGCCTGTGCTCGCGCCGCCCGGTCTCTGCGCCTTTGCTTGAGACTTTACGGTAAGCCGCTCCTCCCGCGCCCCCGCCCCCAGGCTCGCGCGGCGGTCCCCGGCGCCGACGCCAGGCGCTGGCCGTGGTGCTGATTCT